ACTGAATAACAATACGCGTGGTTGTGAAGATTCCATACGGCATACAAGAGAGATTATGTGCGAATGAAAAGCAGAGTCAAATTTGGAAAGAGTCCAAATGTAGGAAGATTAAAGTTTGAATTGTAAAGGGATAAGTTGTCACTAGGCCAGATCCGGTCATCTGTGATGGGTTCTAACCCTCACCTTTGACGGATTTAGTCCTGGTCAGAGATTAGTGGTCACTAATGACTACACTTCATCTTTGACGGGTGAAAGCCCGTCACTGGTAATTAAAACCTTTGACGGGCAGAAAAATATAGCCCGTCACACGTGACTCACACCTGTGACGGATGACTCTTTCCAACTCATCAAAGGTGACAAAACAGCTGTGACTGGTTTTAATTCCCACCTGTCACAGATGTCAAAAACCACCCAGAAAAAAAGAAGTTCCTCACCCCAAATGTACGAAATGAAGAAAAATCAAATACATCTCAAGATGCACACGATACAACAACTTTGTATTTTAAATCAAATACATCTCAACAAAAAACTACACATGAAGCAATCTAACAATATACATCACACAAGTACCCATATCAATTTTAACAAACTACACATCCACACAAGCAACAAACATTAGCAAATCAAGCACAAACGACATCAAGCACAAACAAATCCGGCGGCCGGCGGTCGGTGGCGGAGGCAGCGGCGTCCGGCAGTCAAGGAAAGGCTGCGGATGCTGGATCCGCATCCCACAACCTCGTGGAGGTCGGATCTGGTGGTCAGCGGTTGGCGGCGAAGGAGGCGGTGTCCGGCAGTCGAGGAAGAGGTTGCGGAGGTGGCGAAGGTGTCGGCGGCTGGATCCGCGTCCTGGAGGCCAGACTTGGCGGCGTCGGCGGCCGGGAGGCGAGGGAAGGCGCCGGCGGCCAGATCCGGCTTCTCGGGGGCCAGATCTGGCGATCGGCGGTCAGGAGGCGGTGACGGCGTCAGTGTTGAAGGCCGGCGGTCGGGAGGCGACGGCGTCAGCGACCGGGAGGCGGGAGAAGGCACCGGCAGTCGAATCTGGTGACTGGCGGTCAGGAGGTGGCGGCGGCGTCGATGTTGAAGGCCACCGGGCCCGACCTCCTGGAGGCCGATGGCGGGCGAAGGAGGCGGCGACCCTGAGCTCCTAGAGGACGACGGCGGGCAAAGGAGGCGGCGACGCTGCTATGGGAAGGAGACCGCGGCAGCTGGTGCACAATTGGGGGGAGAGGCGATGGTGGAGGAAGAGAAAAGAGAGAAGAGAGAAGAGAGAAAAGAGATGGGGCAGTGGGCAGTGGGGGAGGGTTGGGGTTTCCTTATTTATAAGTCAAAATTGATGGAATATCTGAGGTGAGGTTACTCACCTTTGACGGGTGCAAACTTAAAACCCGTCACATATAAGTACTCATCAATGATGGGTTTATACGTGGACATGTCACAAACGTCATGTGTCGTGTCCTTATATATACCCGTCACAGGTAAATACTATTTACCTGTGACGGGTCATTTTTTTTAGCCTCATCTATGACGAGATTTATTTAACCCGTCAAAGGTGATATTGTTTGTGACGAGATATTTTGGTCCGTCACATGAATTGATCTGGCGTAGTGTGTGTACGTGCATATGGGTAGGTTCCCTAGTGGATTAGGACTACTTATTAATGTGGATTTATGGCTTTTGGGTTGCTACTTTCGGGGATAAATAGAAGATGGGTTGAGATCTATTGGTATCAATTTTGAGAGTTTAGTTGAGAGAAAAAATAGAGTTTAGTATAAATTTCAAGTTTAGTCGAAACTTGAGAGAGTAGTACTGTTGTTGCACTTTGTAAAAACAATTAGAAACAATAAAGTTGATCTAGTTTCAAGAGTTTTTCGATTTGTGTTTTTCTCAGTTTCGGTGATCACACCTGTGAGGGCACGGTGGTCACACCAGTGGCTTCACAGCGGCTAGACCAGCGGTGGCGATCGATGACAGTGGTTTAGAGGGTGATTAGACCGGTCATACCAGTTAATTAACGTCATCGGATTTTGAGCGTAACTTTTAGTTACACTAAAAACTAATTTTCGGTGTTCCTACTATTCACCTCTAGCTTAGTTCACTTGATTTGATCCTACATACGAGCTATCAAATTAAAGATGACTATCAAGATAAGACGCTGAAACTGATCTGACCAACAACCGGGTATCGATCAATCGAAGTGGTCCCACAGCGACATGTCGTCGCCGAGTCCTCAACACAGTTAAAGATCAATCGGTCGGGTGCGGCCGTACGTGTGTGGTAGGTGGCATATGCGGTACTAGTATATCTGATCGAGTGATCACCAGGCTAACCTATAATTGTTTGTTAACTAGGAGTATAGCTCAAACTAGGGATGACAATTTTGCCCATGGGTCCGGGTATCCGCAGATACCTGACCCAATAGGTATGAGCGTGGGTGTGAATTTTTACCCGTGGGCACTAGGGATGGTAATTTTGCCTATGGGTCCGGGTATCCGCGGATACCTGACCCAATGGGCATGGGCGTGGGTGTGAATTTTTACCCGTGGGCACGTCCGCCCGAAACCCGTAGACATCGTGGGTAACAACCGGGTTTCATTTTTTTGCCTCTGGGTAACCCATGTTCGACCCGATACATATGTATTAGCTAATTTCGACTTATCTCTTAATTGTTATGCCCCTTTCTCTTGGTTCATTTGTGATACTAACTAATAATAAGTCAGGGGCGAATTTAGTATTGGGGCTTGTTGGGGCGCAAGCCCCAGCTCCATCTACTAGGTCCTAAGTATCCCTATGTCACTAATGCTGCAGTAGTTATGACTAGCTACCGTTTGGAGGAAGAAAATGACTAGATGGTACTTGGACTACTGCTTTCATGCTTTGTTTTCTCGGATGTTTTGTGCTCCAGTCACAGTTGCTATGATATGGCACATTTCAAATTATTTTAGCTGTAGTTATATATGGGGGCAGAGACCTGATGGCTAGAGAGAGGTGTGAAATCAACGAGACAACGTGGTTCTTCACCATTAATTTCATATTAGCAAATATGAATGATCTTTGATTGACGGTCTTAGAGCTAAAAAAGTGAGATTTTTCTACAAACATAGTGAGATATACATGGTTCACTTATCGATATATTCTAGTTCCCAACGTTGACACTGGTCATTAGAGCACCGCCTCTATTTTCATTCTGGATTCGCCACTGTAATAAGTTATGATGTAATTCAAATTATTGTTGATAACTAATAAATTGTTAAATTGTTGATTTTATTTCTCTTTGTTAAACTGTATATCTTTCGAGTTACTATTCATATGAGATCCATTAAGTACCCGCCGGGTATACCCGTGCCCGTCGGGCATGGGTACGGGCACAGAGTTTTGCCCGCTAACCCTAGTGGGTAAGGTTTGGACAAGCGACGATGGGCATGGGTTCAGGCATGATTTTACTCTGCCGTGCCCGATCTGACCCGTTGTCATCCCTAGCTCAAACCACACACCTGTTTTCCGATGGTGACAAGGGAAGCAACTGGCATCGCTCCTCCATCATCGGGATGCTACCACGAGGGTCACGCTTCTCCCTCGCGGATCCATCCAAACGTACGAGAGGCAACGCAGCCATCTCGGGACAAGAAAAAAAATTACATGCGTGCTACAAGAAAAAAAAATTCCATGAGGCGGAGGTTAGTACCAAAAAATAAGCCTGGTACTGGTGTAATCTCACTATTAATAATAGTTTATCAAATGTTTAGGTTTAAAAAATTAGTATGCATGCATAAACGTGCGTCAAAGCCATAGATCTGGATCCTCTGCAGTAATGCAGAGGCTCATTATTCATGCGAACTGTATTTATTGTAATCCACTATTGAGTACCGAAGCGCATGACATGATCTGCTCTTGGTCATATGCATTACAAACTGTAATCCAGAGGATCCCGATTTCAAAACCACCACCATTCTTTAAACTTATTACTATCCGTTTCTCAAGTAGATTCTCAAGTAGATGATGTCTTAAAATTAATGGTAAAATCAAATATTAATTAATTAGTTAATTCTAAAATATTAGGAGTTGACACGTGAAAATGGTATCAGTAGATATTTGTAAAAAAAACTTTCATATAATTATTGTTTTTATAGCTTGTAAAAAATATGTTTAGAAAAAGTAATGATAAAATATGTAAATTATATCCGTATCAATGTCTAAAACGGCAAGTAAAAAAGAATAGGATGTAGTATATTTTATAAACTTATGCTATTGTAAAATTGGAGGTTTAACCAATATTTTTTCTAAATGTTAAATATTTACAACCATAAGGTATACACATGGAAGTGAAGCCACGAAAGGAAGGTATAATTGTCCATTTTGGATGTAAATTTTACTACATCTTCTCAAATTATAAACATTTCTGGACATCCAAAATAAGACATTTTTGACTATATGCATTCTCGATAAACTTCTACAAGGTAGTAATAAAATACTGAGTGAAAATGTGAATAATAACATATATAATTGAAAAAGGAAAACGATGGAGCAACAAGCAACACTTATTATCTAAAAAAAAAAACAAGCAACACTTGCCTAGCTGTTTTGACGTGATAATTAGGATCGGGACATGACGACGACTGTGGAGCAATCGACGCAGGGAGGCAGAGTGCCCAACTGCCCATGCAGCTGCGCGTGTTCCTGCCGTGCTGCTGTGGTAGTTCACACGACAGGACCACGTATTACCCGTACAAATTAGCAACCGCGCGCGCGCTGTCGTCGGTCCCGCCCGCGCGCTGCCCACACCACAGTGCAGTGTCGCCATGCATCCGCCGGCGCCGGACCACACAGCAATCGGTTAGCTATAGGATTCCTTTATCTAATTTTGTTGATTTTGGCAACAAAAGAAGAGAAACACATATGCATAATTCTGGACATCGATCTCCCTGGGCCTAATAATGCAAGCGTAACGCTGTTGACGTACATGTCGTCATATACGCATGTCCTCGTTTCAATTCGCTCCCCACACTCAAAGGACAAAGGGCTCTTAGGCTCTTATTAAAAAGGCGGAGGAGTTTGTGATAACTCGCACGGCCTATGCGTACGTAGCACCAGGAGCTAGCAAACACTACTCTTTTTTTCTTTTTTTGCGGGGAAGCTAGCAAACAGTACTACTAACCTTCTGCTTATATATCACCAACAAATACTATGTCGGTCACGCCTACCAACGACGTCGTGATGACTGGCCCTGTAGCTGGCGCCGGCGACGTGCAGGCCGCTGAGACGTTCCGCGTGTTCGTCGGGTACGACTCGCGCGAGGACATCGCGTACCGCGTGTGCCGGCGCTCCCTGCTGCAGCGCTCCTCCGTGCCGGTGGCCGTGATCCCGATCGTGCAGCAGGAGCTCCGGTCTGCGGGGCTGTACTGGCGGGAGCGCGGGCCCACGGAGAGCACCGAGTTCTCCTTCACCCGCTTCCTGACGCCCCACCTGGCCGGCTACCGCGGCTGGGCGCTCTTCGTCGACTGCGACTTCCTCTTCGTCGCCGACGTCGCGGAGCTGGCGCGCATGGCCGACCCGCGCTACGCGGTGCTGTGCGTGCACCACGACTACGCGCCCAAGGAGGCCACCAAGATGGACGGCGCCGTGCAGACGGTGTACCCGCGCAAGAACTGGTCGTCCATGGTGCTCTTCAACTGCGCCCACCCAAAGAACCGCGCCGCGCTGACGCCCGAGGCCGTGAGCACGCAGAGCGGCGCGTACCTGCACCGCTTCATGTGGCTGGACGACGCCGACATCGGCGAGGTGCCCTTCGTGTGGAACTTCCTCGTGGGGCACAACCGCGTCGACCCCGCCGACACGGCCGGGACGGCGCCGCGCGCCATCCACTACACTTCCGGCGGGCCGTGGTTCGAGCAGTACAAGAACTGCGAGTTCGCGGAGCTCTGGGTCCAGGAACGTGACGCGTATGAGGCCGAGGCGGAGGAGGACGAGGAGAAGGAAGAGCACGAGCCCAAGGCCATCCTGCATGCCCCTGCTGCGCCGTCGGCAGTTCCCGTGGACGCCTGAGCCTCACGTGCGGTGCCTACTGTTTTCTAATAATATGATTGGAATAAACTCATGACGGCCACACCTCAAGAATGATAAGTTCTATATATTGTTGATCATATGGTTAAATATTACTTTGAGGCTAAATGCTGGTCATAACGTGTCTTTGTGGCTATCAAGTCAAGTGATCTCTCTAAGAGGAAGTGGGAGCACCCCGAGCGAAGGGTGAAGGACGACGACAAACCAGAGTGAAAGAAGGGCACAAAACAAGCGGAGATTACCAAATCACTAATACCTGGGGAAAAACTATTGCAATCTATGCTCATCGAATTGTCGTGCTAGACTAACCGTTACTTATAGGATAGAAGAATATTACTTCCGCTAGACAGTCACACGCCTCTATCTTTGATCCTACAGACGGCACTATTCACTAATGCTGTTCAGTTTATTTCGATTGCAGTATCCTAACATAGACCTCGAATCAAAATACAAAGAAAGATAGCCAAAACGCAACAACGCACAAATAACGCGAGTGATGATAAAATAGCAAGCTAAACAGAGATGCCAAATGCGCACATTGCCACAGAAAATTAGGCAAACATCTATCAAATGCCCATGGCATGCGCAGGGGATTTACTTGCGCCACTCGCGCGATGCCCATGCAACATACCCCAAAACGGATCATACGCGAGCAGCACATAACCTCCTACCAACCTGAAACTACTGGATAAATCATTCTAACACATCAAAAGCGTAGCCACCACAGACTACTGATAACGATGGAGATACTTCCACTGATTAATTCTACATTTCTACTCCTACCTCAAGTCTTCTAGTCACCTCTTGTGATGGAACCTAACCTTCAACAAGTACTGCATCTTCACCTGCCAGAGATAAGGTTTCGTGAAAGGTAAGGAACTGAACTTCTGATGAACAGAAGCGCGCAAAAGAGTATGGATAACAATTTGACTGAACCTGGGATGTATTGTAGACAATATACTCATTGTACATAAGCTCAGATGTCTTGATAGATGCTGGCACTGGCTTTCCGCATGGCACCACAACATCATCCCTCCATTTCGCAAACTCAGACTCGAGCGGCACGGTTTTGCCTAAGCCCTTGGTCGAGTGTTTCCCTCTTGGAGGTTTGTCCATGGACTGCAGCAGCCAGCAGTAAGCCAGTGAGTGTGGTGCCAAGCCAAGATAAACATGGGGAAAAAAAACAAGTAATTGCACTCGAGTAACTCGTTGAGCTTTTTCTTATAATTATGAATCAGCAAAGAAATATAGATCACAATAAAAAAATCAGGAAAGAAATGCCATGGTCAATTCCTTAAAGCAGGATCATATTTCAAAGCAAAGATAGAAGTTCAAGTTAATGTTATAACCAGAATTTCTCTTTTGGTAGTGAGAGGCTTTATATCTTACCGTGGCTTTCTTCAGTTCATACATGTCACCTAGAGCAACCTCGGAAAGAAGCATCAAACCAACTGGATTCTTCCTATCCACGTAACAATATTGTGCACTCTTGCTTACTAAATCTGCAAAGTAGAGGCCTTTCCCAAACTGTTGATTGAAAGGAAAATAGCTTAATCAAATTCAACCAATCTTTTGCCAGTGCTACAGTTGAACCATTTATGAAGTGAACAAAGAGCAAACCATATAGCCTGTCACGGGAGCCTCAGGAGGTGCTATTCTTAGTCCTTGACTAAGTATTCCAACATAATTGGTCAACCTTGAACCTATAAATTAAGTTTTGCAATCATGGAATCATTCAAATGGTAGGAAGGAAAGAGTTACTTAGGGACGTTAAGTAGATCTCCAGTACAATTACAAAAAAAGTAGCCTTTTAAATACTGACATAACAACATAACATACAACACGAGTAAACCACACGAAGAACTAGTAAAATAAACATTTACAACTGTTGGATTGACTGTGAACCCTCTGTTCACCTACGCACTGCCATGGCAAAGACTGCGCATGGATAATAAGTTTCATCTCAAACCTAGATTTTGGCACTAAATACTGAGAGTATAAAAACCTTTTCAAATATTGCGTAAGCCAAATGTGTTTGCATTACTTGGATAGATTGCTTACCATGCCATAACAACATCTTGTTATGTAGATTATTCTTATATCTTGAGTACTTGCTGAATTCTCCATCTCGATCAAGCGAAAAGACTTCCTCTAATTCCAGTGACCACTCCTTCAAAAAAGATTTAAAAAGAGGACATGTCAATACCTATACAGAAGAAAACAGAAACAATCGTCTGTATTGTACTATCTACAAAAGAGAAAAAAAAAACTATAAGGTTTTTGTATACAGAAGAAAATACATGCCTTGTGGGTAGGAGCATGAGTGTTAAGAAGATACTTCTCAACTAGCTTGTAATCTTCACAATCATGAGGGAGTGGCGTAATGGCACATCGAAGTTTCTTGTACTTGTCATCAAGAGACTCATCATTGTCACTATCGAAGCCAACAAGTTTAGAAGCAATTTCAATATCTTGCAGAGCTTCAAGCATTTTCACCTGCACCATTGCACCAAAGTTACAGTCAATTGGGTCTCTGAATAAAGTTACAATTGGCAATAAGAAATACATCTGATCAGTCAAAGAAAATAAGAATGAAAATAACACAAGAACCAAAACAGCCCTTTAAACGGTGGACAGTTATAACACATTTTTCCTTGAATATGCAGGAGATATCATTGCATTTAAGAACAGCACTGTATCTAATGGCAAGGAGAACATGTGAAGAACCAAAGGAAAAGAAAAGGAAAAATGCCATAGGTATGTTAGTTTTTTATTATAACATCCTCTAAAATGTTCCAACTAGATAGCAAAATGAGAGTCATTGAGAACTTGAACCATAAATGAAAGTAGTGCGAAAATACATTTTTTTACTTCAATAACATAGTTTACTGGAAGCCAAATTTATATATGACAAAATAAATAACAATTTTGTGTTCCTTCGATTCCATTTGAGCATTATGGAACATGCCTAACTGCCAAGATATCATTACAAGTCATGTACGATCTGTGCGTGGAATGGACCCATTTCAATTTCAGCAATGATCATAGAACGCCTTTATTCTTTTGCAAAAGGAAGGTTTTATAGCAAAATATTTCACTTAAAACTGTCGTGATTTTAAAAAATAAGAATAGTCATGGAATATCTTCCCAATATACAGGAATATAACACAAGGTAATGAACACATACTTTCACCATCAAATCATCCTCATCTTGTATAATGTGAGGATGAATAGAAGGAATAAGGGTGAAGAAACGATTGCTCGCGGCAACGATCAAGCTCTCTCTAACCGCCAGTTCTTGATTATTAGTGTTACCCAATAGATTCTGTATCTCAGTTAATGCTTCAAAACCTGCATGCAGTGCAGGCAAGAGAATCATGATATGTTTGGACTTACAGATCAACAAAATGAGTTCCACAATGAGCAAAGTATCACACCTTTTTGGATATTTTCCTTGCTTAGTTTACCCAGGGGCATCTCAGACATGTTAATTTTGAATTCCAGCATAGCAGCCCTGGTACAAAATAATGTGAAATTCTTTTCTAATACTAAAAACAAAGCATGTGCACATGCAAAACCTGAAAATAGAACAGTAAAATCGCACCTGTATGTTTCAATATTGAAAAGCATATTCATGAGCTCCAGCAACTGGGGAGGAAGTGAACTTTTCATTTTGTCAATGTCTTTCCGCTTTGGTCCTTGCCTTACACCATAGTCCTGCAATATATTAAACACATCAGATTGAATCCACATGATCCACTAAAAAGGGGAAAAAAATCCAGCAGGTAAAAACATTATCCCACAACATACAATGTCAAGTGGATAAAATTTCCCAGGCTGCTTTTGGAAATTTGTTTTTTGTTCCCATGCTTCCCAGGGGTTTCCAGTCTTCTCAAGAAACAATCTTCTAAATTCCTGAATAGCATGAATTTTCGACATCTCCTCCAACTTAGTGCCTCCAATTTTTTCATTCCCAACTCGTCCCCACTTTCGGAATACATAACAATCAGACCCATTATCCTCTTCAATGACCTGAAGTATATAATAGCTTCACAGACAAAAAGAGAGAGAGAGAGAACTGTTAAAAGATTAAGTAGGGCAAGCAGGGTCACCATTATTTGCAATAACCTAACAGAAATTTAGCAACTGGTAATACTACAGAAGAAAAGTTCCCCCTCATTTCAACAGTGTGTTATGCTCCCGAACATAAATTGAGAGGAAAGGAAACAGAAATTTGTGCAAGCTCCAACATTTTTTATTGCAGAATGGCAGTAAATAAGACATTCTAGATCGGGTGATTCATATATGTATACGAGACATCGTGGAATGATTGACAACCAAAGCTAAGTTGGGCTTGAACAAGAGACGAGGGCTATGACTTCAGGGGCATATGTAATGAAAACCAAACCAAACCAAACCAGACCAAAGTACTTCCAAAATGTTCATGCTATTTTATATGGTTGCACTTGACTCAACATTATAACTTAACAACCATGGGAAATTTAGCATTATATCATTCTGTTAGTTCAAGGGAAGACCGGGAAGTTGGATTTGAGAAGCAATCCACGTTCTTTGTTTGGTGACTAAAATTGCTGGAGGGTTTATCGGTTTATCCATATCACTCATATGAAATATGCCTTGACAATCACTCCTAAAAGTGCAAATCCTGAATTTGACAAGAAATGCTGTGAGCAAAATCCTTGCCTGTTCACACCTCGTGTCAGGTCAGACATGTTCAGGGTTGTATTGTATATGCTTTTTCCATCTTCAAGAATATGACCTGTATCTTGCAAACCAGAGGACTCATGAACAGCACTTCGCCCTTTAACTTTAACAGTCATTGTGCCTCCTTTCGAAGATTCCAATGCAGCTTCTACTTTATACAAATCAAATGGAAGCACTCTGTTTTTTCTAATGCATTCTCCAAGGTAACCTTCTCGCAGAATTGGTATCTTCAACCTCCTGAAATGAAGTAGCATATATAATGGTATTTTAACACAGTAGTTCGCAAAACAATAGGTAACACAGTAGTTCGCAAAACAATAGGTCAAACTGTAAGTGTAAAAGGATAAGGGCAAAGTAAAATGTGATACCTTGCTTTCTTGACTTCAGCATTCTCACTCTCAAGCTCACTACATAAAACTAAGCAGCTGCTGTCTGCAGTGCAAGACTTCCATGTGAAAATAATGCGAAAAGATTTCACCAAACACTAAGAGCTTACCTAACCTATGAAACAATGACCAAGTCACATGACTCAGTTCATTATATCAGCTGCACAAAAATACTGGCTCAATGCCCATATGTTCTTACAGAAATAGAGACAGTCAGATAGATAACATAAAATTATCACCTGCACATAAGTGATCCATAATCCATCTCTCCCATAAAAAATCATGAGTTAGACAATGCATTTTACTTATACTTTCAAAACATCAGTTAGATTAAGTGTCATGTATTAGTCTAAAATTACACATACGTGAGAGCCAGCCAATTTTAGGAATTTGAGTGGTGGCTTTTGGTCATGGGGTGGTGTCAAACTGCTCACCCACTTGGGTGAAGATATAGGTTCCAATGTCATACGTAACCAAATATGAAAGGTTCAAATGTCTGAACAAGATAGTTCCAGTTCTGGATAACACGAGGAAATCCTGTGTAGTTCAGAAAAAAAAAAGATAACACGAGGAAAAACCTTTGGTAACTGTGGCATTAAAGTTGGCACCAGCATCTTTCAGCTTCTGTTTCCATCCATCCTACAGTAGTTGGATTACATGATTAGTTTAGAGGAATGTACAAAGTACAAACCAAAAAACAAGAAAAAGAAAAATGTATAGCCCAATAACTGATCAGCAGAGAAGAAAAAATAAAAGAAAACAGTATCCCATGCAAATAATTGCAAATCTATCTTACCACTTGATGCAAAAGCAGCATGCTAGATCATATAAAATTTGATCTATTATTCAACAAATGACATGAATTTAACATGAACTGAATCAAGTACATAGGGAAAAAACCTACACTCTCCTAACCTTTGCTCTGCAATCTAAATGTGGTCACTCTGCATATTCCATGGATTAAAATTTTTGGAGATTAAAGAAATAATCGAGGAACTCAAGGAATAAATTAACAAACTAAACTAGCTATCTTCAAGGAATTGACTTAAACAAACAAATATATGAAGCATGTACAGTTGAGCACTTTCCAATTTCATGTCAACAAGCCACACAACAAATATGCATAATATATATAATCTGTATAATATGGTAAGAATCAATCTGGATAACAATGTAAGCAAAGTAACTGTGATTGGAAAAAATAAAGGGCGTCTGGTGCATGCCACAACATGCAGCAAGGTCATGGCATAATTGGTGCTTGCTTTAACGAACACAACTCACAAGAGAACCTGAGGATAACTGTACCAAAAAGTAAAAGATCACTTACAACCACATCTTTAGATTGTCCTACTATAGAAACTCTCAATTTATCCAGTCCTTCACTAAGGAAAGATCGGTTTTGCTGGGTTGATTGGCACAATGATTTCTCAGGTGACATTGGCGGAAGAACTCTCTCTGGTTTCTTAGCCTTTTGAGACTTGAACCACTGCAAGATACATACATATTTGCTTACCTCAACTGTAGAAACCAAGCATTAAGAACGATATTCTTTTGGGTTTGGGTGGGGGTGGGGGTGGGGGTGGGGAGCCATAGTCATACCTTTGTAAGATAACCATTATCCATTTCGTCAGGAATTTTCCATTTCTTTTTACTGCGCACGGGTTCTGTCGTAGAGTATGTACACTTGGACCATTCTGACACATAGCCACTGCAATGATACTGGCCACCATGATAGTATAGGAAGCTAGAACAAACTGGGCAAGTACCCAATGCTCCAAAAAGCATCCCATCAGCACTGCCAGACGAGGAAGAAAGTTAGCGACGAAGTGTACTGACTTCTATGTGAGATGAAACAAGGAAATGCCACAAGCAGGTCTACGCAACCAACAATATTGTAAAGCTTATTATGCAATCAATAATGTTTGTCTTCCTTGAATTATACATAAAAAATTCAGACCTAAATACTATTGAACAATTTTTGCCTGAAAACAAATATCTTAAGTGCTGCCTGACTTTGAAATTTCTCTGCACACATCAAATTTTTAAAATGTGTTTTTTAGAAAGAAAAGGTATAGCCACTTTTAAGGAAATAATAATTGTATACATGAACCAGATTACAAAAGAACCAAAGCAAATAGTGTGCAATCATTAGGTTACGGTGACAATTCTGAATTCCACTAAGCGATCAGTATCACAAACCCTATAACCAGGATGTTACAACTGGGATTTGGGATCCAGAAAGCAAGCAGAAAATAAATCTAGCGACAAAAAATTACATAGATGACCAATTGGGGTCTTGGGGAACAACTATCCTGACAAATTTCGTACACTAGTACCATTCATCATCAGTTATAATCGTACCCTCCTCTATCAAGTAGCATCGGCCAACTGGCCAAGGATATATTTATATGCGGGATCCTTGTAGTGCAGTTTGTTTAAATATCAATTACTCATTGGATGGAAATAATGTAGTGCAGGAAGCCAGGAAGTTAAAAACCATTTCACAAATAGCATGCAATATTACCAACGGTCTAATAGATGCCGCTCTGGCCCAGATGTATCCTGCCCATTTGCTTCGAGCATGTTCCTTAGTTCAGCAGTTGACACATGCTTCTTAAGTTCATCCTTCAATTTCCAAAGTGTGTCACTCTGCTCTTTAAGCTTTTCTTGAAGATCAGAAGAATTAGCATTGGAATCATGTGATACAACAGCTTTCCCTTTATCTTCTGCTGTGCCTTCTGATATACTCCTGATTATCTTGGGAGCTTTGCAGTCGTGTATATCATTCTGATTATTCTTGCGCTTGGAACCCTTAGAAGATGTTTGCCCTTGAGAAACAACAATACAAAATATCAAGTCAGATTACGAAGTGGCGCGAAGAAAATTTGATGCCCATGTTTCATTACCTGAGCTGGGGGCATCTTTCTTAACAAGATCAAGAACAGCTCTTTTATCCTCATGCGACAGGATCTCCCAGCCTGAGAAATTCTCAACAGTTGCAGCTGGGGACATCTCCAGAAAACAGCTGGCGTGATACCAACCTTGCCCTTCAAGCTTAGATGAAACACGAACCTAGACAAACAAATAATAATACTATTACAGAAACAACTTAGAGTGAAGACAAAGACCATGTTTTTACATTACAAGTTGCCATATCACAGTTACAATTCATATGTTTTCAAAACATACATTATTAGCTAAGTGCATGACTAATAGTACTTCTGGATCATCAAACATTTTCCTGTATATAATTCTCCACGGTAATTATTGTAATTCATTAGGAGTACTCAACTAGGAGTGTGGATGAATAAGAAATATGAACATAATAAATACTCTTCCAATTAATACATTTGCAGGTTACTTCATTTGATAAAGTAAACTTAACACAAAATTCAGAGTTCTAATGCTTGCTAGTGGCACGTAGCAGAGTAACTACAAAATAAATGGGAAACTGTGGCCTTTAGGCTTTCTGGTCACTTGGAATTCCAGTGCAAAAGCTTGGGCATTATATGCAACATGATGCAGGCCACAGGGAATAGGGTACAGAAAAGAACCTATGGTGTCCCTGCGTATCAGAACCATACATTTCCCAGATGCAAGTTCAGAAAATAAAAGAACATGCCAATGGCATAGTGGTAGGGAAGCTATTTAACCTCCCCAGCTACAAGTGTTCAAGTGCTAGGACCAAGTCGGGTATCCATTTCATCCTTAGTGAGCGCTAAAGTTCATGTTCTAAATAAATAAAGTATAGAACAACAAAGTAACATGCAGAATTTTGGACAATACAGTATTTTTCCCAGGGAGTAACTATAAGGAATAGGAAACATGTTATGATTAATTATTCTTACATGCTGCATCAAGGTTCATTCAAGAATGTGAAACTTCTGATTATCTATGATTGTTAGCTGAATGCTCATATAAGACTGTAAGGTGTTAATCATCAAGAGGAGGTTATTTTCATGACTATAATTTGAAAAGCAACAAAGTACAAACATAAAATTTTCATGGCATAAAACTTCCTATCCTCAAGGGACGAATTAGAAAGCATATAAAAAATTAATAGATCAAAAGATACAGACCGTTCCCTTTTTTATCTTTTCACCACACCGTCTACAGGAAGTACGGGCAGATTTAGCAACCTCAATGGTGCATTTATCTGAAATAGCAGCTGCAGAACTTGCAGTAGCTGGTGCACTTCCAACATAATTTCTTATCTTCTCTTGGTCATCCCATCTGAGTGTGTCTATTCCTTCAACATCATCAACACTAATTTGAAATGAAGAATCGACACTTTGAGTTAGGTCAGATTTCCAATAGATGCAATAAAGATTAATAAACCATAATACTATAGCGTGAAACTCATGCAAACAGTAAAAGATAAAGTTGCATACGATTTTATCTGGTTTTTCTTACTGAGGATGCAACTGGCATGGTTCCACATCTGAAAAAGAGAAAAGGGCACTAAAATTAATTGGAAGTGGTCAATTCGTAAAATTGATATGGAAAGATATGTCATATAACCATCGAGTTTTCTCTTCTGCACCATCGAGAATCTACCATGACCAAAAAAAAGTTCCAAACAGTTATAGTTCTTGAATAAAACAATTACTATAAACATAGAAAAGGTACAACGTTATAAACACTCCATATTAAAGAACATGGTCAGGTAAAAAATAAGGGCCATCACAGAAAATAAAAAGATATGGTCAGGTGAAAAATGGCATGCAGATCCAAAAGTACCCCCTAAGTTGCCCTAAACGATCCTACATTTCCCAGTGAAATAATTTGAGTGTCTAGTCCACATAACCACATGAGTACTGAGTTGATCCGACCAAAAGAAATAAAGATTCATTATCCAAATGTGCAATATAAAAAATGAAAAATAGAATAAGGACTCCCCTCCAAGTTTTATCTTGCCTAATACAGGTAAGCACTTATAATACACATGCACCCACAAAACAATTACAAGAGGCAAACTAGAAAATAAAGCGGGCAAACGAATACCTAGATTATAATTTGCAAACTACACATCAGATAAGAACAAAAACAGATTAGCGAACACACTAGATTACTAACATTGTCATTGGTATGCCCCATTGCCATGCTAAAAGCCTAAAACAGCACAACCAACTGGCAGGTCCGCATAATAACTAATATATCAAACAACTTAGGACCATTGCCATGCTAAAAGCCTAAAACAGCACAACCAACTGGCAGGTCCGCATAATAACTAATATATCAAACAACTTAGGAGAAATACCAGTTAAATTGCATATGTCAAAGTTGGTGCCCACAAAAGCACCTCTATCTATTCTTGCGTTACACATATAGATTGCATAATGGATTAGAAACAGCAATAAACCCAATGCTGGAATTGACGGATCATCGACAAATCGACAGAGCACCAAACCAAATGCATCAAGAACTCCGCATTCGAAGAAGATTGGTTCGATCATACCCCACAAAATCATGCGAAATTACCCTCAGAAACATATTTTTTTCGGGCATCAAGATTTAAAACCAACCACCCACCAAAGCAGAAGATTCTTATGGCAAATGCCCGCAAAACCCACATTAGCAATGCACATCAAGATGAAAACCAACCACCCATGAAAGCAGAAGATTCTTGTGGCAGATGACCACAAAACCCACACCCGCAATGCAAATCAGGATGAAAACCGATCACCCATCAATCCAGAAAATTCTCAGAATCCAAACCAACCTACAAAAAACCCTCAAGAACACGATGCCTGCCACACCAAAACCCTACCCTCCCAGACCCTAAAGATCAAAGCAAGATTCATCAACTGAACGGAGAAAGATCGTCGGCGAGGAGAGCGGGTGGAGGGAGAGGATACGGACGGGCATTAATCCGTCGAACTGCGTGGCCTGGACCATCTTGCCGAGCCGGAGCTGGTCCTTCCCGATGGGGGACCTGCACGACTTGCACGAGGACCGCCCGGACTTGGCGTACTCCGCCTTCCAGGCCTTGGGCGGCGCCGCCATTCCGCCGGCCGGTGCGGCTGGTGCCCTCTTCCTCCCTTCCCCTCCGCCGCTTCTTGGCTTGTCCTAGGGCCTAGAAAGAACCCACACAACGAGAAAGGAGAAAGGGAAGGGAAAGGCCTGATGATGATGAGGTGTAAAAACGTTAAAAAGGAAAAAAAAAATCTCCCCTCGAAAATTTGGGGCGAGTTGAGTTAATTTGATGGTTTTTCTTTTAAAACCCTGTGCCATATCCTCCCCGAATGTGTATTCTCATATGCCATTTTTCTTACGGGCTTTACGGACTGTTTGGATGGGTTAACTGTATGATTTCTCACGTTTTGCCACGAAAATTACTAAGTATTTCTCAATATTTTTTTCGACAATTAAGCTAAAAGTAAAAGAAAAAAAATAATAAAACATCAGAGTTTATCAGTACTTATCATAAAACAAACAGATGATACCTGCGTTTTAATGTGAAACATATTGATAACTATATGTTTAATACTATAAAAATGATAGATAGATTTGTGAGAGGTGATAACTGGATATGATTGCATGTTGATTTGTAGAATTAAATAAATTGTAAATGATGTTGTATATTTGCATGAGGTTGAATATGTAATTTTTGGTAGTGGGTAATGATGTGGCGTGGTAGCATGTTGAACTTAGTGGACTATAACTTTAACTTTATAAAAAGTATAGATTGGATCCATATCATCGTAAATTTTCTATATTAGAAAAATACCACTACTATTCGTGATATTGGCTGGGTGCCACTGAAATTTTGTAAAATTAGATCTATGACATCACCGTCACATTTTTCTAATTCACATAGAAGGATGACAACTCGTAGATCCGTTTTGCATTCGCTGATCTAATTACGAAAATGAAATACTCTCTCCATCCCGTTTTGTTTTTGCCGTTCCTGGTGAACACCGCAACTGTCGACTTGGAGTCGCCGGCGCAAGCCGATTGGGGTATCTCCACACAAGATGTGTCGTATCGTTCCAGACAGGGACAGGCAAAAGAGCAAGCCATCACGCACTAGCAGTCGGCCTCCACGCTCGTCTTGTGGCCTCGTCGTTCGCGAGACACAAGCCCGTGCGAGCTCATCCCATCATGGTCGAGTGCACCTTCGTGCATCGAGCCATCGGTCGTCACGCTGTCATTGGCCGACCGAGCCACTTTTTGGCATCAGCCATGGAGGGAGAGAGAAGAAAAGAAAGAAGGAAGAAAGAAGAAAGAAGGAAGAAGAAGAAGAAGAAGAAGAAAGGAAAGGAGCTATGGCTTGTAGTTGCGGCTGCACCCGTGCCGTTCGCAATGCATGCGTCAAGTCCGTCGTTCAACGCGGCAAATTCATGTTGGCAGCTACGCCCATTATGCGTCGACATCACTGCCCCTTCCACTAGTTTTGGTAAATATACGTATGCAGGCCATTTACGGATAAAAATGCACCCGACATGCGATAAAATGAACCTCCTGCTAATCATACATGTGTACAAGGATTGGAAGGTGTTGATGTGAAAAACACACACTGGCGAGGTTTGCTTTACTCTAGTGCAGGTCCAAAGATTTGCCTTCAGGTTCAGGGCGTGCTAGTTAGTTTGATCCTGCAACCAACAAGAAACAAAGAATCCAAAGTTAAATCCATAAACGATAGCCGATCGGCTGGACTGCCGATGACATATCATTTAGCACCAAGCCGATGTAACGCAGGTCAGATCGGCAATGAAGTAAGTAACGAGAAAAGAGTTAGATCCACTCGATCGGCTGTAGATATCAATGATATATAATCTATATTTCAAGAATATATTTAAGCTAAGCGATTGGGATAGATCGGGCAGTGTGCCGAGACAGTATAAATTACTTGCGCTTAAAAGTGCTTTGGAGTAAAGATTATACATATTCATAGCATAGCTGATAGGGTAAATCTAATGCGTATCGACTAATACTCCGATACCACTCGTTACTCATTAGAATAAACCAACAAATTTAATATATTTCATTCAAAAGAGATCTTAATATAAAGGGTAGATTCAGTATGTCGAGTAAGCATATAAGTAACGAGACAACTAAATCAGGCAAGATCGGCTGAAACCCCAATAGTATCTCTAGTAGCAGTCATGAAACAAGCTAGATATTACGATTCCAGGTAATGCTTTAATGGATCAAACTTAACTGATACAACATTAAACATAGAAAGAAGCATAAAATTTAAACAAGTCGATGGCAACCTTTTGAAGATGGTAGATGCACTATGTAATCTAATTCGAAGTCAGTATCTAACCATGTCGACTGTTTTCGATGATAGAGGCTAGCCGCTGAGGTTAGGTAGCAAGATCGACCTAGATTACATAGCATATATGATAACTCGACGATTTATATAAACAGGATTAGAGTGTCATGAAGATGTAAGCACTAATCCCGAGAACGCAAGCCGCTATAACAAGCTTTACCTTTTTGTCGAAACAAGATTTTGGCAATACTAAAAGGGGGTGGCTATCAAGCTAGAAAAGTGGATGGGTTCAGAGACAAGGGATTTTATACAGGTTCAGGCCTTCTTAATCAAGAAGTAATACCCTACTCCTGTCCGGGGATTGATCCGCCGAGTGTATTATTGATCGTATGATCTGGGAGAAAATCGTGCCCCTAGAGGCACCCGGACCCCTCCTTATATAGGGGAAGGGGTCCGTATTACAAAGTACAAACCATATCCCTAACGGAATAGGTAATTACAGATAAAATACAATCGTAACCGACTAGGATCCCGGGTATTTCCTTGACATACAAGTTTGGTAATTAACCCGAGTCCTTTTAAAGATATTCTATCTATACATGACACCCCATACCCAGTCGGATATACATGCCGTGTAGGAATGGGGTATCCATAATCTCCACAGTAGCCCCTGAGACCTTTACAGTCGACGGAATAATCTTCTCTCATAATCCGAAAAGACAATCCGAGTGCTTTAGCTTCATCTGTTTTGATCTCCCGAGTAATATAATCAAAGACTGTGAAGGGCTGAAAAATAGAAAAAATCAGGTGCATCGACTAGATGCACCTAATTAGGTGTAGCCCTCGACTATATGGTTAGTTGAACAAACTAAGCATATAGTCAAGGAATAAATAATCCAACCAACCGAGTGGTTTTTGATAATTGTTATCAACCAAGTGACTTGATATCAATATATAGCATATGCAGTGTGAATCCCCCAAATAATATGATCCAAGTGATATACCGACTGCTTTGCAGAATATGATGCGTGCAACCTAAAGTTGACAACATTTTTGGAAATTCACATAGCAAAACAGCTATAAAGAAGAGCTTGATGTTGTGAATAAAGAAATTTCCAAAGTATTGGGCATACACCATGAGCACACTTCTTTAACAGATGTGCTTAAGTCCCTAAAAGACACATGATTTCACCACACCTGAAAATATATGGCATATGTGGTGTAACATCCGAGTAAATAAACTCGTAAACGATTTACCAACCGCCTGGAAAATGACCACAATATATAATCAGCCAAAGCCATAATATTAGTTAATAAAAATGCACACTTACGTGGCAAAAAGCAATGATATTATATCCAATCAACTGCTTTATAAACCCAAACAGCACCTTGACTATATAAAAAAGTCAGTAGGGCAGCTATGTAAAGCTTTACTGTTTGACACCTTTTAAGATGCATTGTACCAACTCCTAAAAAGTTGAGTAACTGCGGTATAAAAGGATTTTAAGGTATTGGGCACTTGATCACGCGCACTTTGGCCTAAGCAAAAAGTGCCTAAGTCCCTAAAAGAACGTGATAGGCCACACCTGAAAATATGGGCTGCAGACATATTAGGCCTAGGCCAAAAAATATGCCTTCGACACCCTTTAAAGGATTCCAGGATAAATATCTCAAGGCCAAGCATATGCAGCATCTGGTAAACCTCCCGCCGACTGCTTTAATGTGCCAAAGAAATATAAAGAAAAACCCAAGTGAGAAGCACTCCAAAGGTTCATAAATCAGCACAGATGATAAAAGTCCGAGTAAAAACTCTCAAAAGACCTATCAAATGTGGCATAAAATCTGATAAAAGACGAGTCTAAATAGCCTAGGCTATGACTCATGACATAATCAAAATAAGCATATAACATGCCGAGTGGATGACTGTATTAAAACCAGTCATCTCAAGAAAACCCAAACAATCTTTGCAGCCTAAAAAGGCCTACAAAATTAGTATAACACTTTTATGTTATGCACCTTTTTATTTGCATCGTAGTAATTCCAAAGAATTATCTAACTGCGTCAAAAAGGATTTTAACAGCATTGGGCTATACTGTTGTGAGCAAGTGTTGACGAAACAAAAACAAATGCCTAAGTCCCTATGGATCACAACTTAATCACGCTGATAGCAAAACTGGGCTGAAGTACTGTTTAGGCCTAGGCCCATTAGTACTCCCGATACCCTAGCGAAATAAACGCCAAAATCGGAGCGTCGTTTCGTCTTCCCCGCCGAGACTCTCGCCACTTTCCCCATTTCCCGCTACAGTGCAAAACCACACCGGCAGAAGCAAGCACACCGGCGGAAGCAAGGGTTAACAAATCCACTCCAATCCATCCTCCTGAGCTCCACAAAAACCCTCCACGCAACCACCGCACCGAATCCCCATCCATTTCCAGCCATATCTCGGACCAAATCGGCATGGGACGACTGGATGTTTTCTTCTTCGGATTGGTTTGCCTTGGTTGTTTCCCGGTCACCTCTTTATTGCCAGATTTTCTAGCATTATCGCCTTCATCATCACTCAGAACCAATTTCCTCTTGCGGGAGTCCGACTGACTGGTTGATTTCGAGGTGTTTGTTTGAGTGTCAGACTGAATTTTTGGTCCTCCACTCGCCTGACCAGTTCGCCAGCGGGGTGATCGGCGTTGAGCAATTGGAGGATCCGACTTCATCAAAGCGAATTCCTGGGTATAACATTTCGAGTTTTCAATTAGCTTAACAGCAGATAAAGGCATGCTTTTGAGAAAGGCTGAAATGTTTGAATACATACCGGTGGAGAAGGATTGAAGGCGTTGTATGGCACCACTGGCAGCAAGTGCGAATAACTAACTACAATTGCATTCGAGAAGATTTTATACATTCTTTCCT